GGACTTCCCCTCTTGTCCTGGCATCCTGGCCTCCTTAGGCCTGCTCCCATCGGGCGGCCTCCGGGTGGGGGGGGGGGGGTGCTCCAGGGCTCAGGAGCCAGCCCAAAGGGGCAGGGGGGCCATTGTAGCCGCTGGGGGAACTGGGAGGGCCCCGGGCCCTGAGCAGACTTGGGAGGCGGATCGTGGCCCCCCGGCCCCCCACCCCGCTCCCCCCCCCCACACACACACATACACACAGCCACCCTCCCCTCACCTCCAGGGGTCTGAGGTAGTCACTCTGCCCTTGGGTGTCAAGAGTGTCCTTGTGGGCCAGCGGGATGTGGCGGGGAGGGGGCGGCGGGTGGACCGGAGGCCCTGGGGACCCGCCGGCATTGCAAAGGGCTGGGTGCGCACAGTCAGGGGTCCTCAGGTTCAGCTGCCCCGCCTGGGAGGCTGACCTTGGCGGTCCGTGTGTCCCGGATCAGATGAGTAGCGGGCCAACCAGCCGGCCGGCCAGCCACCATCCTTTTCCTCACGCCTTCAGCATCTGTGCTTCGCCCTTGCTTGTGATGGTGCGTTCACTGGTCCGTTCTTTCATCCCTCAATGCAAACCTGGTCCTCAGGATCCACTGGCCTCTCTTGTGCTGCTGTGTGTGTGTGAGTGCATGGAACGTCTCCTGTCCTGTGGGGTTCCCGGTAGCCAGGGACGCGCCAGTGTAGGTAGCCATTCCTGAAGCCGAGGAAAGCGCAAGCCCTGTGCCTGGACTGCTCCCAACTTGGCGAGGGCGGCCACCAGCCCCTCCCCGCCGCGTGAACCAGCGGCACTGTTCCCTTCCCTCGCGTGTGCCTCGTGTGCTCACCCCAAACGACTGCCATCAGGCCGAGAGGGCCCTCGGTGCCCACGTGCCCACTGGGCCGCTGGGACAGCATACAGTGCCCCCGGCCTGGGCTCGCACGTGTGGCAGAGGGCACCTGCGGTCTTGCTGGCTCCTCTCCCTCTGTGTTGCCGCGCCTCGCCTCCCCCCCGGGGCGCGCGCAGTGGCCTCCTCCCTGCCTGGGGCCAGGAGCCTAGGGTATTTTCCTGGGTCCCTTCTCCTCAGGCACGCGGTGAGTGTGGCTTTGGTCCTCGCTCTCTTAACACCTTCACCCAACTGGCGGCCAGCCCGGCGTCCCGAGTGGTAGTTGGTGACCGGAGTGGGCGTGTGCGCGAGCGCGCGCGTGGACAGCTCTGGCCTTTCCCGGCGTCCGGCCAGGAGAGTGAGCCTGGGTAAGGAGGTCGTTGGGCACCTCTCGGGAGAGATGGCCGCCACCCTTCCCAGAGACGACCCACCGGTGTCCACGTGTGCGGCCCGAGACAGGAGAGGGCTGTTGCGTGCCTATATGCCCCGAGGGTCAGCCCAAGCGCGGGCAGGTTGAGCGTGTGGGCTCGGGCCTGTGGTAGGCCTCAGCTCCCTGGAGCCAGCCAGCCAGCCAGCCAGCCGGCCTCCGCTGCCATGACCGTCCATCTCCAGGTCCTCTGGGACCCGGAGCAGCCTCGGCCCCACGCAAGGAAAGAGAGGAGTAGTGCGTGTGTGTGTGTTTGGGGGGGGGGGTTGTGGAGGGTGGAGTGGGGGGGGGGCCGAGTTTGGCACCCAGCGAGGAGAGGTAGGCCTACAAGGCCTTTCTCCTCCTGTGCCTGGAGGGGTACCCCCCACACCCACCGACCCGCCGTGTCTTCCTCTCTCGTTGGTGCTGGGGCCCCCGCACACAACGATCCCTGAAGCCCCCACCGGGCCGGGGAGGACCGGAGGGGGGGGGGCCTCTCACGCAAGAAGGTTGTGAGGACACAGAGGCCCACGGGCTCTGGGCCGGGGCCTAGGGACTTGCCGCTGCCCTTTGCACCCCAGTGCTCGGGACAGGGTGGTCTCCGGAGCTGGCCCCCTTGAGAGTGAGTCCCTCGGGCCTCCCTGGAGCGGGGGGGAGGGTGTGGCTCGGACCCTGCCTGCCTCTTTCCAGGTGGTGCCTGGCAGACCCTCAGCAGCTTGGGAGACAGAGCTGGGAGACTGGGTTGGGGTCCGCTTTCCGGTGGGCGGGGGGGGGGCGGGGCCTGGAGGGGCTGCCCTGGCTTTTGTGGTCTGGAAGGCGGCTGTAGAGGACACCACTCAGAGGAGACCACTCAGAGGAGGGAGCCCCTGCAGGACAGAGACGCGGATTGGGGGACGATCACCCCCAAGCGCTCCCGCTGGCTCTGTGGACTGAAGCGGGGGAGCTGGCGGCCCCGCTTGTCCTGGAGACAGACTGCACAGCCCGCTGGAACCCATTCCTTGTTTCCTTTCTTCGGGCTCTGGTTTGGTTGGGTTCGGTTTGGTTTCGTTTTGTTTCGGCGCCTCGTGTTTTTTTCTCTTCGCGAAGGGCGGAGGCAGAGGACCTGGGCATTGGCGGGGACAGGCTGGGGTGGCATTGGTGGTGCAACACCGCCATCAAGGGGAACCAACCGCTTTGCCGCTCCTGCGAAGCCCGCAGCGTCCCTGGCTGGGGAGGAGAGTGACCAGAGAGTGAGGGCCAGGGCCGGGCGTCGGGGTCTCGGGGAGGTCAAGAGCTCGACTGGGCTGGGCTGGGCTGGGCTGGGCTGGCCGGACCAAGGAAAGTATAGAGGGGAGCGTAGTCGGGAAGAGGCGCAGGGGCCGGTTACCGGACCGGAAGCCCAGCCAAGGGCTCGGGACTCTGGCCCGGGCCAGTTCTGGGGCGGGACGAGAGGCGGGAGCTTTGAAAGAGCCTGGGTCGCGCCTCCTGGAGGCCTGGCCACCTGCCCGTCCACCGATTTTTCACCTTCTTCCCTAGGGAGCAGCGGGTTTGGCCCTGGCAGGCGCCCTGGGCCCCGGGAGGCACCTGGAGCCCTGGGAGCCTCTCTGGGCCGAGGCCCGGAAGCCTACATTCCCAACAGAGGGAACCAGTCCCGGACCCAGACCCTACCCACCCCCCACCACCCCCCCCCCCACCCCCACACACACATGCGTGCGTGCACAGAGAGGGGCTAGGTGGGCTCCCCACAAAGGCGTACCCCCACCAGATTCTCTCAGGCAGGAACTGCTGTGCAACTCTGCCAAAACTCGTGGAACGTGGCCACCCGGGAGCCGAGGGTGCCTGGCAGCGGGCAAGGGGATGTCAGCAGAGGGTGGAAGGGGAAGGCACGCTCCAAGAAGAAAGAGGCAGGGCAGGAGGATCGCTTCGGACGCGGTGTCGCCCCTGGGGGTCACCTGGGGGGGTCCGCCACAGGCTGGTCAGGGAGGCTGCGGGCTGCACCCTCCCGCGCGGGACAAGACAGGAGGGCACGGGACACAGGAAAGGACAGGGCACATTGTGCAGGACACGGGAGCCCAGCGAGGTCGAGCCGGGCCAAGGAGAGCGGTGGGCCCGGGCCGGCCACACAGGCTCAGACTTGGACCTTCTTGGCCACCTTCCAGCAGGAGGCCCGGAGCCTCCCGGGGGGGGCTGGGGCTGGGGCTGCGAAGAGGAAGGACCCTGGCCTGTAAGCAGCCCCGGCCGTCCAGGTCTCAAGCCCGGGATGGTGGTGGTGGTGGTGGTGGTGGTGGTAGTGGGGGGAGCGGGGTTGCACACCCTCCCGAGCCACTGGACCAGTGTGGGTCTGAAGGGCTCCCTCCAGCTGTCTCAGCCTGCGGTGACACAGAGACCTCCTCCCTATTGTGCCCCATGCCCTGCCCCGCAGGCGTGCAGTCCGCGTGGCAAGGCCCGGACACTCGGTGGCCTTTCGGTCCCCACCCCGGGGCCATGAGAGCCCCACCTGGGCAAGAACTTGCCGGGTGGCTCGTCCCTGCTGGGGGTTCCAACAGGGGGTCGGGGAAAGGGGGGCCTGCTAGCCTGGTGGGTCTCCCGGAGCAGGGCCGAAAGGTGACCCCTGACCCGCTGGCCCTGCTTTTCACCCCTGTGAGGCACCAGCCCCTTGTCCGCTTTTGGCCAGCGGCGTCCCGCCTTGCGCCGGCACAGATGGCCGCAGGTGCCATGCCCTGACCTGCAGACTCCCATGCGTCCCCCTCCCCTAGGTGTGGCGCGTGTTCTCCCTCTGGCCTCGGCCCACCCACAGTGACACAGACACATCCCCGGCCTGGTCTCCATACCAGGCTCCCTGCGTGTGCGTGTTGGGGGGGGGGGGGGCGCGGGGTGGTGCGTTGGGGCCGGGGGGCGGTCCTGTGCGCCTCCCACCAGACCCAGTGTTACCCTGCCCAGGGGTGGCCGGACAGAGGCGAGGAAAATGGACATCCTTCGGCTCGCTCCGGAGGTCAGGTTGCTGCCCTGGTCAACGTGGGGATCCGAGGCTTGAGGGATGTGATCCGTGATGCCCCGTGATGCCCTGCCCACTGGGAATGGGGACCCTGTGGCACATGGGACAGGACGCGCCACTGTGGGGCCTGGCACCTAGGCAGTCCCTGGCGCCCGACAAAGGCAGCCAAAGAGCAGTCTTCCCCGCGGCTGTCCCGCTCCTGCAGAAGAGTGAAAGGCGGCCCCCGAACCGCTTACCCGCAGACCCGCAGGCCCCCAGACCCGCAGGCCCGCAGGCCCGCAGGCCCTTTCCCTTTCCCTTTCCCCGGGGATTCGGCCTTGGCGGGGTCCGAGGCTTGGGGCGGGGTTGGGCAGGAGGGTGCCTGGGGCGGCTCAGCCGAGGGAGCGATCCGCCCACGCACACACAGCCGCGTGGACCTGGTCCCCACGCCCAGGACCAGGATCCCAGGCCCCGGCGCCCCCAGTCCCCCTCTCCAGGGAGCGTCTGCGCCGGGCCAGGGAACATGGCGCCGGCCGAGGCCACGCCCCCTCAGCCTCCGGGGGACCCGGGCACCCCCCGGGGTCCAGCGGGGCCCAAGCTGGGCCACTTTCACCGCCCGGATCGCTTCGGGGCACAACCCGGAGGAGGTGGGCTGGCGGGAGGCCCTCCGCAGGCCCCCGAGCCACCGAGCCTGCGCGGCAAGCCCTGCGCCGGCCCCGCCAGGAGCCGGGTGCGGCCGCCGAGCTGAAAAGCATTCCGCTTGATGGCACTGCTGCTCCAGAAATGCCTGCCACCCGGACAGCCCGGCCGCTCCCTCCGCCCTGTGTGCCTGAAAAAGGCCAAGCGAGGCGCCAGAAGCCGCCCAGGCTTTCCAAGCGGCGGCGGGGGTGGGGGGGTGGCGGCCAGCGCCCGCGAGTCCAGGAGCCGCCGTCCCGGCCTTGGGCCTCCTGGCGCGGAGGAGGAAGGCACCCCCAGAGGCGTCCACCACACTGCGGGCATCCAGGGGACCCCTCTGCGCGTCTCCCCGAGCAGCCCAGCCCACCCGGGGAACGGGCACCCTGTCGTCACCTCACTGCCCACTGGGGCGCGGGTGTCTCTGCCACGGTTGTCCCACCCCGGGGCCCGCGTGCCGCCCGGGATGGCTATCGGTGCTTCCCAACACAACATCGCACATGCCCTCAAGATACTAGGAGCTGTTTTCCATTCCCTGAGTGTCTGTCTATTGAACGTGTGCCCCGAGACAACCCCTCTTCTTCCCAAGTGACCCAGGGACAGGGACCCCTCTGCTTCCCAGGTCCCCGGAGGTTTCTCGGGGAGGGGTGGATGACCACACCACGGTGCTGTTTGTGTGTGTGGGGGGGGGGGGGGGGGGAGGGCAACAAGCCTGGCCGTCCGGAGACATTGGTTCCCATCTAGCCGTGACGCGGGCATCTGGACTTCCCGTCTTGTCCTGGCATCCTGGCCTCCTTAGGCCTGCTCCCATCGGGCGGCCTCCGGGTGGGGGTGGGGGGGGGGTGCTCCAGGGCTCAGGAGCCAGCCCAAAGGGGCAGGGGGCCATTGTAGCCGCTGGGGGAACTGGGAGGGCCCCTGCTCCCAGTCTCTCCTCTCACCTGGATGCCAGGCAGCCTCGGCCCGGGGTGGGCGTTTTCCATGCGTTTTGGCAGAGCTGGGCAGGAGAACGACCCTCACTGGGGGTGGGGGTGGGATGGTGGGGGCAGTTTTCAGGGGTGTGTGTGTGTGTGTGTGTGTGTGTGTGTGTTGGTTGTTCGGGCCCAGGCCCGCGCCCACGCCCGCGTTTGGTTCTTAGGCCTCTGGGCATCAGCGCAGAGAGGCTTCCCCCCACCCTGGGCTAAACCAGTGCTCCCTACGCAGGTGAGGAAGGCGGAGGGGCCTAAGAGCCTCCAGCCCATACCCCCCCCCCCCCGGCGCTTTCAGAGCAGCTTCCTCCTGTCCCTCTCAGAGATGGGGGTTGGCCTGGGTCCCGAGCCTTGGCTTCTCCAGACCCCGTCCCTGGGCCTCATCCCGACTGCCCTCCCCTCTGCACTTTCCCTGGGCTGCGCGGCCGGCAAGCCGGCCAGCAAGCCACAGCAAGACTGTGTAGTGAGACCCAGGGCGGTATTTTCCGACGAAAGGACGGACCACTGAATGTAAGAGGGGAAGCAAGAGCGATGCCCAAATGATGAATGAGTGAAGGAAAGGAGGGTTGGCTGGCTGGCTGGCTGGCTGGCTGGCCGGCCGGTCGGCCGGCTGGCTGGCTGGCTGGCTGGGGCTGATCGGGTAGAGACAGAGTGACAAGGGGTGTTACCCTGGTGGGGCTGGTGAACCACCGGCCCTCACAGAGGAGGTCATCTCCCTGTGTGGATGGGGCCTCTCAGTCTGTCCGCGGGTCCCCAGGACCCCCGCCCGCTCCCGCCGTGCCCCCACCTCACCCACAACACAATGGGGCACCCAAGGGTAGAGTGACAGTGACTACCGGAGACCCCTGGCGGAGAGCGTGGGGCGACCCAGGCCACCCCCGCCACCCGGCCAGCGCCCCCCATCCGCTACAATGGCCTACTCCCCCTTTCGGCCTGCTCCTGAGCCCTCGAGCCCCTTGAGGCGGCCTGAGGGGAGAGCAGGAGGCAGGCCGGGATGCCAGGGCAAGAGGGGAAGTTCAGATGCCAGACAGTGGCGCGGCTAGCTGGCAATCAAGGCCTCGGGAGAGCCTGGACGGTCCCCAGCCCCAGCCCCAGCCCCAGCCCCAGCCCCAGCCCCAGCCCCAGCCCCACCCAGCCCCAGCAGAGGTTCTCCCAGCTTCGGGCGTGTGTGGGCCACACAGGAAGAAGAGGCTTGTCTTGGGCCACCCATTGAATACAGACACACTAAAGAAGAGAAAATCATCTCAGGATGTTTTCGGGAGATGGGCGATTTTGTCTGGGGAAGGGTGGCCAGGACGCCCCTGGGAGAGAGAGACACGCTTCCACCAGGGGGCAGTGTCGTGGTGACAGGGTCCCCGGTTCCCCCCGGGTGGGTGGACTGGGCCGCCCGGGAGACACGTGCCAGGAGCGAGGTTCCCCCCCCACCCCGGGGACGCAGGTCGTGCTGTGGACGCCTTCCTAAGTGCCCTTCCTCCTGCGCCCAGGGAGGCCCTGGGCCGCGACAACGGCTCCCCAGCAGGCCACGAGAGCCCACCCCCGCCCGGAAGGCTCCGTTGGTTTCTGGCCTCTCACTGGGCCCATTTTCAGGCACCGAGGGCGGAGGGGGCGATCAGGCTGTCCGGGCGGATCAGGCTGTCAGGGCCCGGGGCGTTTCCTGAGCAGCAGGGCGGTCAAGGGCAGCCTTCCTGAGCTCGTCCTCCGCCTCCCGTTGCCGGCGGTCGCGGCCAAGGCCTGCGGCGGCCGGCACCGTGGCTCCGGGGCCTGGAGAGGACTCCGGAGGCCAAAGCCGGCCGCCAGCCCACCTCCAGGGTGTCCCCGGTCGCGACCCGGGCGGCGGAGGCGGCCCCGCCGGCCGGGGCCCTGCTGGGCCAAGGAGCTGCCCGGGGTGGCCGTTGGGGCCGAGGGGGCGTGGCCTCGGCGGGCGCCCTGTTCCCTAGCAACCCAGGTAACCCCAGCAACCGCGGCAACACGCCCAGGTTCCTTCCGGGTTGGAGGACGCAGGGGCGCTCTGACCCTGGATCCTCGCCCTGGGGGCCGGGGAGAGGTCCATGGTGGGGGGGGGGACGCCTCCCTGGGGTGAGCCCCCACCCGAGGCCTCCGACCCGGCCACCGGGGAAACGGGAGGCCGGGGGTGGGCCGGCCGGCCGGGCCGGGCGGCCTGGAGGCCGGTCAGGGGCGGCGCTTCGCAGGCCGCCTGCGGCTTTTCCGCGTGCTCCGCCCCCGCCGGAGGCCAGGATTTCGGCCCGCAGGGTCCCCCGGTGCAGGTGCGGGGCAGGTGACCGGGAAGAGGGGCTTTGGGCTGTCTTTGGCTGGCACGGAACACCGGCTGGGCTCCCCCCCGCTGGCACTTCCTGTCGCATGCGACGCTGGGTCCCGGTGCCCAGGGGCCACTGCGTGGCCTCGGGTCCCGGATGAAGGACGCGACACGGGGCTAGGAGCCCTAGGTTGACAGGCACGGCGACCTTCGGAGCGAGGCGCTGGACGTCCGTTGTCCTCACGTGTCTTCGGCCAGGCCGCGGCACCGGAACAGCCGGCCCAGCGGCGCCCGTGCCGGGCCGGCCCCCACTGACCCCCACCCATTCACCCCCCGCCCCTTGGCCCCGGCCTGCCTGCCAACACCCCTCCTCCCGTGCCCGGCAGGGACGAGCCACCCCAGGACTTCTTCCCGAGTTGGGGCTGTCGTGGCCCCCGGGGTCCAGACTGAAACGCGGCGAGTGTCCAGGCCTTGGCAGACAGGCTGCACGTCTGGGGGGGGGGGGGGGGGCTGGTGCAGGGGGCACAAGGGACACGGGCTGTCTCTGTCACCCCAGCCGCGGCCAGCCGGAGGGAGCCTCTTCAGGCCCCCAACTGGCTTTCCAGGGCCTGCCCGCTGGCTCTCGGAGGGAGGGCGGGCCAGCCACGGGTTCGAGACCTGGACAGCCGGCGCGGCTGCGTGCAGGCCGGGCCGTTCCTCTTCGCAGCCCGGGCAAGGCTCAGGGCCTGCCGCTGGACGGTGGACAAGAAGGTCTAAGTCTGCCCGTGTGTGGCCGGCTGGGGCCACGGCTCTACCTCACTGGGCTCCTCACTGGGCTCCCGTGTCCTCCACAATGACCTCTCCTTTCCTATGTCCTGTGCCCTCCCGTCCTCTCCCACGAGGGAGGTACAGCCCGGTGCCTCGGTGACAAGCCTGCGCTGCAACCCTGGAGACTCGGACCGAGGGGTGGCACCGGGACTGTAGGGCTCCTTCTGCCCCGGCTCCCTCTTCTGGTTTGAGGGCCTTCGGCTTCCGGCCCCTGCTCCCAGTCTCTCCTCTCACCTGGATGCCAGGCAGCCTCGGCCCGGGGTGGGCGTTTTCCATGCGTTTTGGCAGAGCTGGGCAGGAGAACGACCCTCACTGGGGGTGGGGGTGGGATGGTGGGGGCAGTTTTCAGGGGTGTGTGTGTGTGTGTGTGTGTGTGTGTGTGTGTTGGTTGTTCGGGCCCAGGCCCGCGCCCACGCCCACGTTTGGTTCTTAGGCCTCTGGGCATCAGCGCAGAGAGGCTTCCCCCCACCCTGGGCTAAACCAGTGCTCCCTACGCAGGTGAGGAAGGCGGAGGGGCCTAAGAGCCTCCAGCCCATACCCCCCCCCCCCCGGCGCTTTCAGAGCAGCTTCCTCCTGTCCCTCTCAGAGATGGGGGTTGGCCTGGGTCCCGAGCCTTGGCTTCTCCAGACCCCGTCCCTGGGCCTCATCCCGACTGCCCTCCCCTCTGCACTTTCCCTGGGCTGCGCGGCCGGCAAGCCGGCCAGCAAGCCACAGCAAGACTGTGTAGTGAGACCCAGGGCGGTATTTTCCGACGAAAGGACGGACCACTGAATGTAAGAGGGGAAGCAAGAGCGATGCCCAAATGATGAATGAGTGAAGGAAAGGAGGGTTGGCTGGCTGGCTGGCTGGCTGGCTGGCCGGCCGGTCGGCCGGCTGGCTGGCTGGCTGGCTGGGGCTGATCGGGTAGAGACAGAGTGACAAGGGGTGTTACCCTGGTGGGGCTGGTGAACCACCGGCCCTCACAGAGGAGGTCATCTCCCTGTGTGGATGGGGCCTCTCAGTCTGTCCGCGGGTCCCCAGGACCCCCGCCCGCTCCCGCCGTGCCCCCACCTCACCCACAACACAATGGGGCACCCAAGGGTAGAGTGACAGTGACTACCGGAGACCCCTGGCGGAGAGCGTGGGGCGACCCAGGCCACCCCCGCCACCCGGCCAGCGCCCCCCATCCGCTACAATGGCCTACTCCCCCTTTCGGCCTGCTCCTGAGCCCTCGAGCCCCTTGAGGCGGCCTGAGGGGAGAGCAGGAGGCAGGCCGGGATGCCAGGGCAAGAGGGGAAGTTCAGATGCCAGACAGTGGCGCGGCTAGCTGGCAATCAAGGCCTCGGGAGAGCCTGGACGGTCCCCAGCCCCAGCCCCAGCCCCAGCCCCAGCCCCAGCCCCAGCCCCAGCCCCAGCCCCAGCAGAGGTTCTCCCAGCTTCGGGCGTGTGTGGGCCACACAGGAAGAAGAGGCTTGTCTTGGGCCACCCATTGAATACAGACACACTAAAGAAGAGAAAATCATCTCAGGATGTTTTCGGGAGATGGGCGATTTTGTCTGGGGAAGGGTGGCCAGGACGCCCCTGGGAGAGAGAGACACGCTTCCACCAGGGGGGCAGTGTCGTGGTGACAGGGTCCCCGGTTCCCCCGGGTGGGTGGACTGGGCCGCCCGGGAGACACGTGCCAGGAGCGAGGTTCCCCCCCACCCCGGGGACGCAGGTCGTGCTGTGGACGCCTTCCTAAGTGCCCTTCCTCCTGCGCCCAGGGAGGCCCTGGGCCGCGACAACGGCTCCCCAGCAGGCCACGAGAGCCCACCCCCGCCCGGAAGGCTCCGTTGGTTTCTGGCCTCTCACTGGGCCCATTTTCAGGCACCGAGGGCGGAGGGGGCGATCAGGCTGTCCGGGCGGATCAGGCTGTCAGGGCCCGGGGCGTTTCCTGAGCAGCAGGGCGGTCAAGGGCAGCCTTCCTGAGCTCGTCCTCCGCCTCCCGTTGCCGGCGGTCGCGGCCAAGGCCTGCGGCGGCCGGCACCGTGGCTCCGGGGCCTGGAGAGGACTCCGGAGGCCAAAGCCGGCCGCCAGCCCACCTCCAGGGTGTCCCCGGTCGCGACCCGGGCGGCGGAGGCGGCCCCGCCGGCCGGGGCCCTGCTGGGCCAAGGAGCTGCCCGGGGTGGCCGTTGGGGCCGAGGGGGCGTGGCCTCGGCGGGCGCCCTGTTCCCTAGCAACCCAGGTAACCCCAGCAACCGCGGCAACACGCCCAGGTTCCTTCCGGGTTGGAGGACGCAGGGGCGCTCTGACCCTGGATCCTCGCCCTGGGGGCCGGGGAGAGGTCCATGGTGGGGGGGGGGGGGACGCCTCCCGGGGGGGAGCCCCCACCCGAGGCCTCCGACCCGGCCACCGGGGGAAACGGGAGGCCGGGGGTGGGCCGGCCGGCCGGGCCGGGCGGCCTGGAGGCCGGTCAGGGGCGGCGCTTCGCAGGCCGCCTGCGGCTTTTCCGCGTGCTCCGCCCCCGCCGGAGGCCAGGATTTCGGCCCGCAGGGTCCCCCCGGGTGCAGGTGCGGGGCAGGTGACCGGGAAGAGGGGCTTTGGGCTGTCTTTGGCTGGCACGGAACACCGGCTGGGCTCCCCCCCGCTGGCACTTCCTGTCGCATGCGACGCTGGGTCCCGGTGCCCAGGGGCCACTGCGTGGCCTCGGGTCCCGGATGAAGGACGCGACACGGGGCTAGGAGCCCTAGGTTGACAGGCACGGCGACCTTCGGAGCGAGGCGCTGGACGTCCGTTGTCCTCACGTGTCTTCGGCCAGGCCGCGGCACCGGAACAGCCGGCCCAGCGGCGCCCGTGCCGGGCCGGCCCCCACTGACCCCCACCCATTCACCCCCCGCCCCTTGGCCCCGGCCTGCCTGCCAACACCCCTCCTCCCGTGCCCGGCAGGGACGAGCCACCCCAGGACTTCTTCCCGAGTTGGGGCTGTCGTGGCCCCCGGGGTCCAGACTGAAACGCGGCGAGTGTCCAGGCCTTGGCAGACAGGCTGCACGTCTGGGGGGGGGGGGGGGGCTGGTGCAGGGGGCACAAGGGACACGGGCTGTCTCTGTCACCCCAGCCGCGGCCAGCCGGAGGGAGCCTCTTCAGGCCCCCAACTGGCTTTCCAGGGCCTGCCCGCTGGCTCTCGGAGGGAGGGCGGGCCAGCCACGGGTTCGAGACCTGGACAGCCGGCGCGGCTGCGTGCAGGCCGGGCCGTTCCTCTTCGCAGCCCGGGCAAGGCTCAGGGCCTGCCGCTGGACGGTGGACAAGAAGGTCTAAGTCTGCCCGTGTGTGGCCGGCTGGGGCCACGGCTCTACCTCACTGGGCTCCTCACTGGGCTCCCGTGTCCTCCACAATGACCTCTCCTTTCCTATGTCCTGTGCCCTCCCGTCCTCTCCCACGAGGGAGGTACAGCCCGGTGCCTCGGTGACAAGCCTGCGCTGCAACCCTGGAGACTCGGACCGAGGGGTGGCACCGGGACTGTAGGGCTCCTTCTGCCCCGGCTCCCTCTTCTGGTTTGAGGGCCTTCGGCTTCCGGCCCCTGCTCCCAGTCTCTCCTCTCACCTGGATGCCAGGCAGCCTCGGCCCGGGGTGGGCGTTTTCCATGCGTTTTGGCAGAGCTGGGCAGGAGAACGACCCTCACTGGGGGTGGGGGTGGGATGGTGGGGGCAGTTTTCAGGGGGGTGTGTGTGTGTGTGTGTGTGTGTGTGTGTGTGTTGGTTGTTCGGGCCCAGGCCCGCGCCCACGCCCACGTTTGGTTCTTAGGCCTCTGGGCATCAGCGCAGAGAGGCTTCCCCCCACCCTGGGCTAAACCAGTGCTCCCTACGCAGGTGAGGAAGGCGGAGGGGCCTAAGAGCCTCCAGCCCATACCCCCCCCCCCCCCGGCGCTTTCAGAGCAGCTTCCTCCTGTCCCTCTCAGAGATGGGGGTTGGCCTGGGTCCCGAGCCTTGGCTTCTCCAGACCCCGTCCCTGGGCCTCATCCCGACTGCCCTCCCCTCTGCACTTTCCCTGGGCTGCGCGGCCGGCAAGCCGGCCAGCAAGCCACAGCAAGACTGTGTAGTGAGACCCAGGGCGGTATTTTCCGACGAAAGGACGGACCACTGAATGTAAGAGGGGAAGCAAGAGCGATGCCCAAATGATGAATGAGTGAAGGAAAGGAGGGTTGGCTGGCTGGCTGGCTGGCTGGCTGGCCGGCCGGTCGGCCGGCTGGCTGGCTGGCTGGCTGGGGCTGATCGGGTAGAGACAGAGTGACAAGGGGTGTTACCCTGGTGGGGCTGGTGAACCACCGGCCCTCACAGAGGAGGTCATCTCCCTGTGTGGATGGGGCCTCTCAGTCTGTCCGCGGGTCCCCAGGACCCCCGCCCGCTCCCGCCGTGCCCCCACCTCACCCACAACACAATGGGGCACCCAAGGGTAGAGTGACAGTGACTACCGGAGACCCCTGGCGGAGAGCGTGGGGCGACCCAGGCCACCCCCGCCACCCGGCCAGCGCCCCCCATCCGCTACAATGGCCTACTCCCCCTTTCGGCCTGCTCCTGAGCCCTCGAGCCCCTTGAGGCGGCCTGAGGGGAGAGCAGGAGGCAGGCCGGGATGCCAGGGCAAGAGGGGAAGTTCAGATGCCAGACAGTGGCGCGGCTAGCTGGCAATCAAGGCCTCGGGAGAGCCTGGACGGTCCCCAGCCCCAGCCCCAGCCCCAGCCCCAGCCCCAGCCCCAGCCCCAGCCCCAGCCCCAGCCCCAGCCCCAGCCCCAGCAGAGGTTCTCCCAGCTTCGGGCGTGTGTGGGCCACACAGGAAGAAGAGGCTTGTCTTGGGCCACCCATTGAATACAGACACACTAAAGAAGAGAAAATCATCTCAGGATGTTTTCGGGAGATGGGCGATTTTGTCTGGGGAAGGGTGGCCAGGACGCCCCTGGGAGAGAGAGACACGCTTCCACCAGGGGGCAGTGTCGTGGTGACAGGGTCCCCGGTTCCCCCGGGTGGGTGGACTGGGCCGCCCGGGAGACACGTGCCAGGAGCGAGGTTCCCCCCCCACCCCGGGGACGCAGGTCGTGCTGTGGACGCCTTCCTAAGTGCCCTTCCTCCTGCGCCCAGGGAGGCCCTGGGCCGCGACAACGGCTCCCCAGCAGGCCACGAGAGCCCACCCCCGCCCGGAAGGCTCCGTTGGTTTCTGGCCTCTCACTGGGCCCATTTTCAGGCACCGAGGGCGGAGGGGGCGATCAGGCTGTCCGGGCGGATCAGGCTGTCAGGGCCCGGGGCGTTTCCTGAGCAGCAGGGCGGTCAAGGGCAGCCTTCCTGAGCTCGTCCTCCGCCTCCCGTTGCCGGCGGTCGCGGCCAAGGCCTGCGGCGGCCGGCACCGTGGCTCCGGGGCCTGGAGAGGACTCCGGAGGCCAAAGCCGGCCGCCAGCCCACCTCCAGGGTGTCCCCGGTCGCGACCCGGGCGGCGGAGGCGGCCCCGCCGGCCGGGGCCCTGCTGGGCCAAGGAGCTGCCCGGGGTGGCCGTTGGGGCCGAGGGGGCGTGGCCTCGGCGGGCGCCCTGTTCCCTAGCAACCCAGGTAACCCCAGCAACCGCGGCAACACGCCCAGGTTCCTTCCGGGTTGGAGGACGCAGGGGCGCTCTGACCCTGGATCCTCGCCCTGGGGGCCGGGGAGAGGTCCATGGTGGGGGGGGGGGACGCCTCCCTGGGGTGAGCCCCCACCCGAGGCCTCCGACCCGGCCACCGGGGAAACGGGAGGCCGGGGGTGGGCCGGCCGGCCGGGCCGGGCGGCCTGGAGGCCGGTCAGGGGCGGCGCTTCGCAGGCCGCCTGCGGCTTTTCCGCGTGCTCCGCCCCCGCCGGAGGCCAGGATTTCGGCCCGCAGGGTCCCCCGGGTGCAGGTGCGGGGCAGGTGACCGGGAAGAGGGGCTTTGGGCTGTCTTTGGCTGGCACGGAACACCGGCTGGGCTCCCCCCCCGCTGGCACTTCCTGTCGCATGCGACGCTGGGTCCCGGTGCCCAGGGGCCACTGCGTGGCCTCGGGTCCCGGATGAAGGACGCGACACGGGGCTAGGAGCCCTAGGTTGACAGGCACGGCGACCTTCGGAGCGAGGCGCTGGACGTCCGTTGTCCTCACGTGTCTTCGGCCAGGCCGCGGCACCGGAACAGCCGGCCCAGCGGCGCCCGTGCCGGGCCGGCCCCCACTGACCCCCACCCATTCACCCCCGCCCCTTGGCCCCGGCCTGCCTGCCAACACCCCTCCTCCCGTGCCCGGCAGGGACGAGCCACCCCAGGACTTCTTCCCGAGTTGGGGCTGTCGTGGCCCCCGGGGTCCAGACTGAAACGCGGCGAGTGTCCAGGCCTTGGCAGACAGGCTGCACGTCTGGGGGGGGGGGGGGGCTGGTGCAGGGGGCACAAGGGACACGGGCTGTCTCTGTCACCCCAGCCGCGGCCAGCCGGAGGGAGCCTCTTCAGGCCCCCAACTGGCTTTCCAGGGCCTGCCCGCTGGCTCTCGGAGGGAGGGCGGGCCAGCCACGGGTTCGAGACCTGGACAGCCGGCGCGGCTGCGTGCAGGCCGGGCCGTTCCTCTTCGCAGCCCGGGCAAGGCTCAGGGCCTGCCGCTGGACGGTGGACAAGAAGGTCTAAGTCTGCCCGTGTGTGGCCGGCTGGGGCCACGGCTCTACCTCACTGGGCTCCTCACTGGGCTCCCGTGTCCTCCACAATGACCTCTCCTTTCCTATGTCCTGTGCCCTCCCGTCCTCTCCCACGAGGGAGGTACAGCCCGGTGCCTCGGTGACAAGCCTGCGCTGCAACCCTGGAGACTCGGACCGAGGGGTGGCACCGGGACTGTAGGGCTCCTTCTGCCCCGGCTCCCTCTTCTGGTTTGAGGGCCTTCGGCTTCCGGCCCCTGCTCCCAGTCTCTCCTCTCACCTGGATGCCAGGCAGCCTCGGCCCGGGGTGGGCGTTTTCCATGCGTTTTGGCAGAGCTGGGCAGGAGAACGACCCTCACTGGGGGTGGGGGTGGGATGGTGGGGGCAGTTTTCAGGGGTGTGTGTGTGTGTGTGTGTGTGTGTGTGTGTGTGTGTTGGTTGTTCGGGCCCAGGCCCGCGCCCACGCCCACGTTTGGTTCTTAGGCCTCTGGGCATCAGCGCAGAGAGGCTTCCCCCCACCCTGGGCTAAACCAGTGCTCCCTACGCAGGTGAGGAAGGCGGAGGGGCCTAAGAGCCTCCAGCCCATACCCCCCCCCCCCGGCGCTTTCAGAGCAGCTTCCTCCTGTCCCTCTCAGAGATGGGGGTTGGCCTGGGTCCCGAGCCTTGGCTTCTCCAGACCCCGTCCCTGGGCCTCATCCCGACTGCCCTCCCCTCTGCACTTTCCCTGGGCTGCGCGGCCGGCAAGCCGGCCAGCAAGCCACAGCAAGACTGTGTAGTGAGACCCAGGGCGGTATTTTCCGACGAAAGGACGGACCACTGAATGTAAGAGGGGAAGCAAGAGCGATGCCCAAATGATGAATGAGTGAAGGAAAGGAGGGTTGGCTGGCTGGCTGGCTGGCTGGCTGGCCGGCCGGTCGGCCGGCTGGCTGGCTGGCTGGCTGGGGCTGATCGGGTAGAGACAGAGTGACAAGGGGTGTTACCCTGGTGGGGCTGGTGAACCACCGGCCCTCACAGAGGAGGTCATCTCCCTGTGTGGATGGGGCCTCTCAGTCTGTCCGCGGGTCCCCAGGACCCCCGCCCGCTCCCGCCGTGCCCCCACCTCACCCACAACACAATGGGGCACCCAAGGGTAGAGTGACAGTGACTACCGGAGACCCCTGGCGGAGAGCGTGGGGCGACCCAGGCCACCCCCGCCACCCGGCCAGCGCCCCCCATCCGCTACAATGGCCTACTCCCCCTTTCGGCCTGCTCCTGAGCCCTCGAGCCCCTTGAGGCGGCCTGAGGGGAGAGCAGGAGGCAGGCCGGGATGCCAGGGCAAGAGGGGAAGTTCAGATGCCAGACAGTGGCGCGGCTAGCTGGCAATCAAGGCCTCGGGAGAGCCTGGACGGTCCCCAGCCCCAGCCCCAGCCCCAGCCCCAGCCCCAGCCCCAGCCCCAGCCCCAGCCCCAGCCCCAGCAGAGGTTCTCCCAGCTTCGGGCGTGTGTGGGCCACACAGGAAGAAGAGGCTTGTCTTGGGCCACCCATTGAATACAGACACACTAAAGAAGAGAAAATCATCTCAGGATGTTTTCGGGAGATGGGCGATTTTGTCTGGGGAAGGGTGGCCAGGACGCCCCTGGGAGAGAGAGACACGCTTCCACCAGGGGGCAGTGTCGTGGTGACAGGGTCCCCCGGTTCCCCCGGGTGGGTGGACTGGGCCGCCCGGGAGACACGTGCCAGGAGCGAGGGTCCCCCCCCACCCCGGGGACGCAGGTCGTGCTGTGGACGCCTTCCTAAGTGCCCTTCCTCCTGCGCCCAGGGAGGCCCTGGGCCGCGACAACGGCTCCCCAGCAGGCCACGAGAGCCCACCCCCGCCCGGAAGGCTCCGTTGGTTTCTGGCCTCTCACTGGGCCCATTTTCAGGCACCGAGGGCGGAGGGGGCGATCAGGCTGTCCGGGCGGATCAGGCTGTCAGGGCCCGGGGCGTTTCCTGAGCAGCAGGGCGGTCAAGGGCAGCCTTCCTGAGCTCGTCCTCCGCCTCCCGTTGCCGGCGGTCGCGGCCAAGGCCTGCGGCGGCCGGCACCGTGGCTCCGGGGCCTGGAGAGGACTCCGGAGGCCAAAGCCGGCCGCCAGCCCACCTCCAGGGTGTCCCCGGTCGCGACCCGGGCGGCGGAGGCGGCCCCGCCGGCCGGGGCCCTGCTGGGCCAAGGAGCTGCCCGGGGTGGCCGTTGGGGCCGAGGGGGCGTGGCCTCGGCGGGCGCCCTGTTCCCTAGCAACCCAGGTAACCCCAGCAACCGCGGCAACACGCCCAGGTTCCTTCCGGGTTGGAGGACGCAGGGGCGCTCTGACCCTGGATCCTCGCCCTGGGGGCCGGGGAGAGGTCCATGGTGGGGGGGGGGGGGGCGCCTCCCTGGGGTGAGCCCCCACCCGAGGCCTCCGACCCGGCCACCGGGGGAAACGGGAGGCCGGGGGTGGGCCGGCCGGCCGGGCCGGGCGGCCTGGAGGCCGGTCAGGGGCGGCGCTTCGCAGGCCGCCTGCGGCTTTTCCGCGTGCTCCGCCCCCGCCGGAGGCCAGGATTTCGGCCCGCAGGGTCCCCCGGGTGCAGGTGCGGGGCAGGTGACCGGGAAGAGGGGCTTTGGGCTGTCTTTGGCTGGCACGGAACACCGGCTGGGCTCCCCCCCGCTGGCACTTCCTGTCGCATGCGACGCTGGGTCCCGGTGCCCAGGGGCCACTGCGTGGCCTCGGGTCCCGGATGAAGGACGCGACACGGGGCTAGGAGCCCTAGGTTGACAGGCACGGCGACCTTCGGAGCGAGGCGCTGGACGTCCGTTGTCCTCACGTGTCTTCGGCCAGGCCGCGGCACCGGAACAGCCGGCCCAGCGGCGCCCGTGCCGGGCCGGCCCCCACTGACCCCCACCCATTCACCCCCGCCCCTTGGCCCCGGCCTGCCTGCCAACACCCCTCCTCCCGTGCCCGGCAGGGACGAGCCACCCCAGGACTTCTTCCCGAGTTGGGGCTGTCGTGGCCCCCGGGGTCCAGACTGAAACGCGGCGAGTGTCCAGGCCTTGGCAGACAGGCTGCACGTCTGGGGGGGGGGGGGGGGCTGGTGCAGGGGGCACAAGGGACACGGGCTGTCTCTGTCACCCCAGCCGCGGCCAGCCGGAGGGAGCCTCTTCAGGCCCCCAACTGGCTTTCCAGGGCCTGCCCGCTGGCTCTCGGAGGGAGGGCGGGCCAGCCACGGGTTCGAGACCTGGACAGCCGGCGCGGCTGCGTGCAGGCCGGGCCGTTCCTCTTCGCAGCCCGGGCAAGGCTCAGGGCCTGCCGCTGGACGGTGGACAAGAAGGTCTAAGTCTGCCCGTGTGTGGCCGGCTGGGGCCACGGCTCTACCTCACTGGGCTCCTCACTGGGCTCCCGTGTCCTCCACAATGACCTCTCCTTTCCTATGTCCTGTGCCCTCCCGTCCTCTCCCACGAGGGAGGTACAGCCCGGTGCCTCGGTGACAAGCCTGCGCTGCAACCCTGGAGACTCGGACCGAGGGGTGGCACCGGGACTGTAGGGCTCCTTCTGCCCCGGCTCCCTCTTCTGGTTTGAGGGCCTTCGGCTTCCGGCCCCTGCTCCCAGTCTCTCCTCTCACCTGGATGCCAGGCAGCCTCGGCCCGGGGTGGGCGTTTTCCATGCGTTTTGGCAGAGCTGGGCAGGAGAACGACCCTCACTGGGGGTGGGGGTGGGATGGTGGGGGCAGTTTTCAGGGGTGTGTGTGTGTGTGTGTGTGTGTGTGTGTGTGTGTGTGTTGGTTGTTCGGGCCCAGGCCCGCGCCCACGCCCACGTTTGGTTCTTAGGCCTCTGGGCATCAGCGCAGAGAGGCTTCCCCCCACCCTGGGCTAAACCAGTGCTCCCTACGCAGGTGAGGAAGGCGGAGGGGCCTAAGAGCCTCCAGCCCATACCCCCCCCCCCCGGCGCTTTCAGAGCAGCTTCCTCCTGTCCCTCTCAGAGATGGGGGTTGGCCTGGGTCCCGAGCCTTGGCTTCTCCAGACCCCGTCCCTGGGCCTCATCCCGACTGCCCTCCCCTCTGCACTTTCCCTGGGCTGCGCGGCCGGCAAGCCGGCCAGCAAGCCACAGCAAGACTGTGTAGTGAGACCCAGGGCGGTATTTTCCGACGAAAGGACGGACCACTGAATGTAAGAGGGGAAGCAAGAGCGATGCCCAAATGATGAATGAGTGAAGGAAAGGAGGGTTGGCTGGCTGGCTGGCTGGCTGGCTGGCCGGCCGGTCGGCCGGCTGGCTGGCTGGCTGGCTGGGGCTGATCGGGTAGAGACAGAGTGACAAGGGGTGTTACCCTGGTGGGGCTGGTGAACCACCGGCCCTCACAGAGGAGGTCATCTCCCTGTGTGGATGGGGCCTCTCAGTCTGTCCGCGGGTCCCCAGGACCCCCGCCCGCTCCCGCCGTGCCCCCACCTCACCCACAACACAATGGGGCACCCAAGGGTAGAGTGACAGTGACTACCGGAGACCCCTGGCGGAGAGCGTGGGGCGACCCAGGCCACCCCCGCCACCCGGCCAGCGCCCCCCATCCGCTACAATGGCCTACTCCCCCTTTCGGCCTGCTCCTGAGCCCTCGAGCCCCTTGAGGCGGCCTGAGGGGAGAGCAGGAGGCAGGCCGGGATGCCAGGGCAAGAGGGGAAGTTCAGATGCCAGACAGTGGCGCGGCTAGCTGGCAATCAAGGCCTCGGGAGAGCCTGGACGGTCCCCAGCCCCAGCCCCAGCCCCAGCCCCAGCCCCCGCCCCCCCCCCAGCCCCAGCCCCAGCAGAGGTTCTCCCAGCTTCGGGCGTGTGTGGGCCACACAGGAAGAAGAGGCTTGTCTTGGGCCACCCATTGAATACAGACACACTAAAGAAGAGAAAATCATCTCAGGATGTTTTCGGGAGATGGGCGATTTTGTCTGGGGAAGGGTGGCCAGGACGCCCCTGGGAGAGAGAGACACGCTTCCACCAGGGGGCAGTGTCGTGGTGACAGGGTCCCCGGTTCCCCCGGGTGGGTGGACTGGGCCGCCCGGGAGACACGTGCCAGGAGCGAGGTTCCCCCCCACCCCGGGGACGCAGGTCGTGCTGTGGACGCCTTCCTAAGTGCCCTTCCTCCTGCGCCCAGGGAGGCCCTGGGCCGCGACAACGGCTCCCCAGCAGGCCACGAGAGCCCACCCCCGCCCGGAAGGCTCCGTTGGTTTCTGGCCTCTCACTGGGCCCATTTTCAGGCACCGAGGGCGGAGGGGGCGATCAGGCTGTCCGGGCGGATCAGGCTGTCAGGGCCCGGGGCGTTTCCTGAGCAGCAGGGCGGTCAAGGGCAGCCTTCCTGAGCTCGTCCTCCGCCTCCCGTTGCCGGCGGTCGCGGCCAAGGCCTGCGGCGGCCGGCACCGTGGCTCCGGGGCCTGGAGAGGACTCCGGAGGCCAAAGCCGGCCGCCAGCCCACCTCCAGGGTGTCCCCGGTCGCGACCCGGGCGGCGGAGGCGGCCCCGCCGGCCGGGGCCCTGCTGGGCCAAGGAGCTGCCCGGGGTGGCCGTTGGGGCCGAGGGGGCGTGGCCTCGGCGGGCGCCCTGTTCCCTAGCAACCCAGGTAACCCCAGCAACCGCGGCAACACGCCCAGGTTCCTTCCGGGTTGGAGGACGCAGGGGCGCTCTGACCCTGGATCCTCGCCCTGGGGGCCGGGGAGAGGTCCATGGTGGGGGGGGGGGGACGCCTCCCTGGGGTGAGCCCCCACCCGAGGCCTCCGACCCGGCCACCGGGGAAACGGGAGGCCGGGGGTGGGCCGGCCGGCCGGGCCGGGCGGCCTGGAGGCCGGTCAGGGGCGGCGCTTCGCAGGCCGCCTGCGGCTTTTCCGCGTGCTCCGCCCCCGCCGGAGGCCAGGATTTCGGCCCGCAGGGTCCCCCGGGTGCAGGTGCGGGGCAGGTGACCGGGAAGAGGGGCTTTGGGCTGTCTTTGGCTGGCACGGAACACCGGCTGGGCTCCCCCCCGCTGGCACTTCCTGTCGCATGCGACGCTGGGTCCCGGTGCCCAGGGGCCACTGCGTGGCCTCGGGTCCCGGATGAAGGACGCGACACGGGGCTAGGAGCCCTAGGTTGACAGGCACGGCGACCTTCGGAGCGAGGCGCTGGACGTCCGTTGTCCTCACGTGTCTTCGGCCAGGCCGCGGCACCGGAACAGCCGGCCCAGCGGCGCCCGTGCCGGGCCGGCCCCCACTGACCCCCACCCATTCACCCCCGCCCCTTGGCCCCGGCCTGCCTGCCAACACCCCTCCTCCCGTGCCCGGCAGGGACGAGCCACCCCAGGACTTCTTCCCGAGTTGGGGCTGTCGTGGCCCCCGGGGTCCAGACTGAAACGCGGCGAGTGTCCAGGCCTTGGCAGACAGGCTGCACGTCTGGGGGGGGGGGGGGGGGGCTGGTGCAGGGGGCACAAGGGACACGGGCTGTCTCTGTCACCCCAGCCGCGGCCAGCCGGAGGGAGCCTCTTCAGGCCCCCAACTGGCTTTCCAGGGCCTGCCCGCTGGCTCTCGGAGGGAGGGCGGGCCAGCCACGGGTTCGAGACCTGGACAGCCGGCGCGGCTGCGTGCAGGCCGGGCCGTTCCTCTTCGCAGCCCGGGCAAGGCTCAGGGCCTGCCGCTGGACGGTGGACAAGAAGGTCTAAGTCTGCCCGTGTGTGGCCGGCTGGGGCCACGGCTCTACCTCACTGGGCTCCTCACTGGGCTCCCGTGTCCTCCACAATGACCTCTCCTTTCCTATGTCCTGTGCCCTCCCGTCCTCTCCCACGAGGGAGGTACAGCCCGGTGCCTCGGTGACAAGCCTGCGCTGCAACCCTGGAGACTCGGACCGAGGGGTGGCACCGGGACTGTAGGGCTCCTTCTGCCCCGGCTCCCTCTTCTGGTTTGAGGGCCTTCGGCTTCCGGCCCCTGCTCCCAGTCTCTCCTCTCACCTGGATGCCAGGCAGCCTCGGCCCGGGGTGGGCGTTTTCCATGCGTTTTGGCAGAGCTGGGCAGGAGAACGACCCTCACTGGGGGTGGGGGTGGGATGGTGGGGGGCAGTTTTCAGGGGGGTGTGTGTGTGTGTGTGTGTGTGTGTGTGTGTGTTGGTTGTTCGGGCCCAGGCCCGCGCCCACGCCCACGTTTGGTTCTTAGGCCTCTGGGCATCAGCGCAGAGAGGCTTCCCCCCACCCTGGGCTAAACCAGTGCTCCCTACGCAGGTGAGGAAGGCGGAGGGGCCTAAGAGCCTCCAGCCCATACCCCCCCCCCCCCCCGGCGCTTTCAGAGCAGCTTCCTCCTGTCCCTCTCAGAGATGGGGGTTGGCCTGGGTCCCGAGCCTTGGCTTCTCCAGACCCCGTCCCTGGGCCTCATCCCGACTGCCCTCCCCTCTGCACTTTCCCTGGGCTGCGCGGCCGGCAAGCCGGCCAGCAAGCCACAGCAAGACTGTGTAGTGAGACCCAGGGCGGTATTTTCCGACGAAAGGACGGACCACTGAATGTAAGAGGGGGAAGCAAGAGCGATGCCCAAATGATGAATGAGTGAAGGAAAGGAGGGTTGGCTGGCTGGCTGGCTGGCTGGCTGGCCGGCCGGTCGGCCGGCTGGCTGGCTGGCTGGCTGGGGCTGATCGGGTAGAGACAGAGTGACAAGGGGTGTTACCCTGGTGGGGCTGGTGAACCACCGGCCCTCACAGAGGAGGTCATCTCCCTGTGTGGATGGGGCCTCTCAGTCTGTCCGCGGGTCCCCAGGACCCCCCGCCCGCTCCCGCCGTGCCCCCACCTCACCCACAACACAATGGGGCACCCAAGGGTAGAGTGACAGTGACTACCGGAGACCCCTGGCGGAGAGCGTGGGGCGACCCAGGCCACCCCCGCCACCCGGCCAGCGCCCCCCATCCGCTACAATGGCCTACTCCCCCTTTCGGCCTGCTCCTGAGCCCTCGAGCCCCTTGAGGCGGCCTGAGGGGAGAGCAGGAGGCAGGCCGGGATGCCAGGGCAAGAGGGGAAGTTCAGATGCCAGACAGTGGCGCGGCTAGCTGGCAATCAAGGCCTCGGGAGAGCCTGGACGGTCCCCAGCCCCAGCCCCAGCCCCAGCCCCAGCCCCAGCCCCAGCCCCAGCAGAGGTTCTCCCAGCTTCGGGCGTGTGTGGGCCACACAGGAAGAAGAGGCTTGTCTTGGGCCACCCATTGAATACAGACACACTAAAGAAGAGAAAATCATCTCAGGATGTTTTCGGGAGATGGGCGATTTTGTCTGGGGAAGGGTGGCCAGGACGCCCCTGGGAGAGAGAGACACGCTTCCACCAGGGGGGCAGTGTCGTGGTGACAGGGTCCCCGGTTCCCCCGGGTGGGTGGACTGGGCCGCCCGGGAGACACGTGCCAGGAGCGAGGTTCCCCCCCACCCCGGGGACGCAGGTCGTGCTGTGGACGCCTTCCTAAGTGCCCTTCCTCCTGCGCCCAGGGAGGCCCTGGGCCGCGACAACGGCTCCCCAGCAGGCCACGAGAGCCCACCCCCGCCCGGAAGGCTCCGTTGGTTTCTGGCCTCTCACTGGGCCCATTTTCAGGCACCGAGGGCGGAGGGGGCGATCAGGCTGTCCGGGCGGATCAGGCTGTCAGGGCCCGGGGCGTTTCCTGAGCAGCAGGGCGGTCAAGGGCAGCCTTCCTGAGCTCGTCCTCCGCCTCCCGTTGCCGGCGGTCGCGGCCAAGGCCTGCGGCGGCCGGCACCGTGGCTCCGGGGCCTGGAGAGGACTCCGGAGGCCAAAGCCGGCCGCCAGCCCACCTCCAGGGTGTCCCCGGTCGCGACCCGGGCGGCGGAGGCGGCCCCGCCGGCCGGGGCCCTGCTGGGCCAAGGAGCTGCCCGGGGTGGCCGTTGGGGCCGAGGGGGCGTGGCCTCGGCGGGCGCCCTGTTCCCTAGCAACCCAGGTAACCCCAGCAACCGCGGCAACACGCCCAGGTTCCTTCCGGGTTGGAGGACGCAGGGGCGCTCTGACCCTGGATCCTCGCCCTGGGGGCCGGGGAGAGGTCCATGGTGGGGGGGGGGGGGGACGCCTCCCTGGGGTGAGCCCCCACCCGAGGCCTCCGACCCGGCCACCGGGGGAAACGGGAGGCCGGGGGTGGGCCGGCCGGCCGGGCCGGGCGGCCTGGAGGCCGGTCAGGGGCGGCGCTTCGCAGGCCGCCTGCGGCTTTTCCGCGTGCTCCGCCCCCGCCGGAGGCCAGGATTTCGGCCCGCAGGGTCCCCCGGGTGCAGGTGCGGGGCAGGTGACCGGGAAGAGGGGCTTTGGGCTGTCTTTGGCTGGCACGGAACACCGGCTGGGCTCCCCCCCGCTGGCACTTCCTGTCGCATGCGACGCTGGGTCCCGGTGCCCAGGGGCCACTGCGTGGCCTCGGGTCCCGGATGAAGGACGCGACACGGGGCTAGGAGCCCTAGGTTGACAGGCACGGCGACCTTCGGAGCGAGGCGCTGGACGTCCGTTGTCCTCACGTGTCTTCGGCCAGGCCGCGGCACCGGAACAGCCGGCCCAGCGGCGCCCGTGCCGGGCCGGCCCCCACTGACCCCCACCCATTCACCCCCGCCCCTTGGCCCCGGCCTGCCTGCCAACACCCCTCCTCCCGTGCCCGGCAGGGACGAGCCACCCCAGGACTTCTTCCCGAGTTGGGGCTGTCGTGGCCCCCGGGGTCCAGACTGAAACGCGGCGAGTGTCCAGGCCTTGGCAGACAGGCTGCACGTCTGGGGGGGGGGGGGGGGCTGGTGCAGGGGGCACAAGGGACACGGGCTGTCTCTGTCACCCCAGCCGCGGCCAGCCGGAGGGAGCCTCTTCAGGCCCCCAACTGGCTTTCCAGGGCCTGCCCGCTGGCTCTCGGAGGGAGGGCGGGCCAGCCACGGGTTCGAGACCTGGACAGCCGGCGCGGCTGCGTGCAGGCCGGGCCGTTCCTCTTCGCAGCCCGGGCAAGGCTCAGGGCCTGCCGCTGGACGGTGGACAAGAAGGTCTAAGTCTGCCCGTGTGTGGCCGGCTGGGGCCACGGCTCTACCTCACTGGGCTCCTCACTGGGCTCCCGTGTCCTCCACAATGACCTCTCCTTTCCTATGTCCTGTGCCCTCCCGTCCTCTCCCACGAGGGAGGTACAGCCCGGTGCCTCGGTGACAAGCCTGCGCTGCAACCCTGGAGACTCGGACCGAGGGGTGGCACCGGGACTGTAGGGCTCCTTCTGCCCCGGCTCCCTCTTCTGGTTTGAGGGCCTTCGGCTTCCGGCCCCTGCTCCCAGTCTCTCCTCTCACCTGGATGCCAGGCAGCCTCGGCCCGGGGTGGGCGTTTTCCATGCGTTTTGGCAGAGCTGGGCAGGAGAACGACCCTCACTGGGGGTGGGGGTGGGATGGTGGGGGCAGTTTTCAGGGGTGTGTGTGTGTGTGTGTGTGTGTGTGTGTGTGTTGGTTGTTCGGGCCCAGGCCCGCGCCCACGCCCACGTTTGGTTCTTAGGCCTCTGGGCATCAGCGCAGAGAGGCTTCCCCCCACCCTGGGCTAAACCAGTGCTCCCTACGCAGGTGAGGAAGGCGGAGGGGCCTAAGAGCCTCCAGCCCATACCCCCCCCCCCCCGGCGCTTTCAGAGCAGCTTCCTCCTGTCCCTCTCAGAGATGGGGGTTGGCCTGGGTCCCGAGCCTTGGCTTCTCCAGACCCCGTCCCTGGGCCTCATCCCGACTGCCCTCCCCTCTGCACTTTCCCTGGGCTGCGCGGCCGGCAAGCCGGCCAGCAAGCCACAGCAAGACTGTGTAGTGAGACCCAGGGCGGTATTTTCCGACGAAAGGACGGACCACTGAATGTAAGAGGGGAAGCAAGAGCGATGCCCAAATGATGAATGAGTGAAGGAAAGGAGGGTTGGCTGGCTGGCTGGCTGGCTGGCTGGCCGGCCGGTCGGCCGGCTGGCTGGCTGGCTGGCTGGGGCTGATCGGGTAGAGACAGAGTGACAAGGGGTGTTACCCTGGTGGGGCTGGTGAACCACCGGCCCTCACAGAGGAGGTCATCTCCCTGTGTGGATGGGGCCTCTCAGTCTGTCCGCGGGTCCCCAGGACCCCCCGCCCGCTCCCGCCGTGCCCCCACCTCACCCACAACACAATGGGGCACCCAAGGGTAGAGTGACAGTGACTACCGGAGACCCCTGGCGGAGAGCGTGGGGCGACCCAGGCCACCCCCGCCACCCGGCCAGCGCCCCCCATCCGCTACAATGGCCTACTCCCCCTTTCGGCCTGCTCCTGAGCCCTCGAGCCCCTTGAGGCGGCCTGAGGGGAGAGCAGGAGGCAGGCCGGGATGCCAGGGCAAGAGGGGAAGTTCAGATGCCAGACAGTGGCGCGGCTAGCTGGCAATCAAGGCCTCGGGAGAGCCTGGACGGTCCCCAGCCCCAGCCCCAGCCCCAGCCCCAGCCCCAGCCCCAGCCCCAGCCCCAGCAGAGGTTCTCCCAGCTTCGGGCGTGTGTGGGCCACACAGGAAGAAGAGGCTTGTCTTGGGCCACCCATTGAATACAGACACACTAAAGAAGAGAAAATCATCTCAGGATGTTTTCGGGAGATGGGCGATTTTGTCTGGGGAAGGGTGGCCAGGACGCCCCTGGGAGAGAGAGACACGCTTCCACCAGGGGGCAGTGTCGTGGTGACAGGGTCCCCGGTTCCCCCGGGTGGGTGGACTGGGCCGCCCGGGAGACACGTGCCAGGAGCGAGGTTCCCCCCCACCCCGGGGACGCAGGTCGTGCTGTGGACGCCTTCCTAAGTGCCCTTCCTCCTGCGCCCAGGGAGGCCCTGGGCCGCGACAACGGCTCCCCAGCAGGCCACGAGAGCCCACCCCCGCCCGGAAGGCTCCGTTGGTTTCTGGCCTCTCACTGGGCCCATTTTCAGGCACCGAGGGCGGAGGGGGGCGATCAGGCTGTCCGGGCGGATCAGGCTGTCAGGGCCCGGGGCGTTTCCTGAGCAGCAGGGCGGTCAAGGGCAGCCTTCCTGAGCTCGTCCTCCGCCTCCCGTTGCCGGCGGTCGCGGCCAAGGCCTGCGGCGGCCGGCACCGTGGCTCCGGGGCCTGGAGAGGACTCCGGAGGCCAAAGCCGGCCGCCAGCCCACCTCCAGGGTGTCCCCGGTCGCGACCCGGGCGGCGGAGGCGGCCCCGCCGGCCGGGGCCCTGCTGGGCCAAGGAGCTGCCCGGGGTGGCCGTTGGGGCCGAGGGGGCGTGGCCTCGGCGGGCGCCCTGTTCCCTAGCAACCCAGGTAACCCCAGCAACCGCGGCAACACGCCCAGGTTCCTTCCGGGTTGGAGGACGCAGGGGCGCTCTGACCCTGGATCCTCGCCCTGGGGGCCGGGGAGAGGTCCATGGTGGGGGGGGGGGGACGCCTCCCTGGGGTGAGCCCCCACCCGAGGCCTCCGACCCGGCCCCCGGGGGAAACGGGAGGCCGGGGGTGGGCCGGCCGGCCGGGCCGGGCGGCCTGGAGGCCGGTCAGGGGCGGCGCTTCGCAGGCCGCCTGCGGCTTTTCCGCGTGCTCCGCCCCCGCCGGAGGCCAGGATTTCGGCCCGCAGGGTCCCCCGGGTGCAGGTGCGGGGCAGGTGACCGGGAAGAGGGGCTTTGGGCTGTCTTTGGCTGGCACGGAACACCGGCTGGGCTCCCCCCCGCTGGCACTTCCTGTCGCATGCGACGCTGGGTCCCGGTGCCCAGGGGCCACTGCGTGGCCTCGGGTCCCGGATGAAGGACGCGACACGGGGCTAGGAGCCCTAGGTTGACAGGCACGGCGACCTTCGGAGCGAGGCGCTGGACGTCCGTTGTCCTCACGTGTCTTCGGCCAGGCCGCGGCACCGGAACAGCCGGCCCAGCGGCGCCCGTGCCGGGCCGGCCCCCACTGACCCCCACCCATTCACCCCCGCCCCTTGGCCCCGGCCTGCCTGCCAACACCCCTCCTCCCGTGCCCGGCAGGGACGAGCCACCCCAGGACTTCTTCCCGAGTTGGGGCTGTCGTGGCCCCCGGGGTCCAGACTGAAACGCGGCGAGTGTCCAGGCCTTGGCAGACAGGCTGCACGTCTGGGGGGGGGGGGGGGGGGGCTGGTGCAGGGGGCACAAGGGACACGGGCTGTCTCTGTCACCCCAGCCGCGGCCAGCCGGAGGGAGCCTCTTCAGGCCCCCAACTGGCTTTCCAGGGCCTGCCCGCTGGCTCTCGGAGGGAGGGCGGGCCAGCCACGGGTTCGAGACCTGGACAGCCGGCGCGGCTGCGTGCAGGCCGGGCCGTTCCTCTTCGCAGCCCGGGCAAGGCTCAGGGCCTGCCGCTGGACGGTGGACAAGAAGGTCTAAGTCTGCCCGTGTGTGGCCGGCTGGGGCCACGGCTCTACCTCACTGGGCTCCTCACTGGGCTCCCGTGTCCTCCACAATGACCTCTCCTTTCCTATGTCCTGTGCCCTCCCGTCCTCTCCCACGAGGGAGGTACAGCCCGGTGCCTCGGTGACAAGCCTGCGCTGCAACCCTGGAGACTCGGACCGAGGGGTGGCACCGGGACTGTAGGGCTCCTTCTGCCCCGGCTCCCTCTTCTGGTTTGAGGGCCTTCGGCTTCCGGCCCCTGCTCCCAGTCTCTCCTCTCACCTGGATGCCAGGCAGCCTCGGCCCGGGGTGGGCGTTTTCCATGCGTTTTGGCAGAGCTGGGCAGGAGAACGACCCTCACTGGGGGTGGGGGTGGGATGGTGGGGGCAGTTTTCAGGGGGTGTGTGTGTGTGTGTGTGTGTGTGTGTGTGTTGGTTGTTCGGGCCCAGGCCCGCGCCCACGCCCACGTTTGGTTCTTAGGCCTCTGGGCATCAGCGCAGAGAGGCTTCCCCCCACCCTGGGCTAAACCAGTGCTCCCTACGCAGGTGAGGAAGGCGGAGGGGCCTAAGAGCCTCCAGCCCATACCCCCCCCCCGGCGCTTTCAGAGCAGCTTCCTCCTGTCCCTCTCAGAGATGGGGGTTGGCCTGGGTCCCGAGCCTTGGCTTCTCCAGACCCCGTCCCTGGGCCTCATCCCGACTGCCCTCCCCTCTGCACTTTCCCTGGGCTGCCCGGCCGGCAAGCCGGCCAGCAAGCCACAGCAAGACTGTGTAGTGAGACCCAGGGCGGTATTTTCCGACGAAAGGACGGACCACTGAATGTAAGAGGGGAAGCAAGAGCGATGCCCAAATGATGAATGAGTGAAGGAAAGGAGGGTTGGCTGGCTGGCTGGCTGGCTGGCTGGCCGGCCGGTCGGCCGGCTGGCTGGCTGGCTGGCTGGGGCTGATCGGGTAGAGACAGAGTGACAAGGGGTGTTACCCTGGTGGGGCTGGTGAACCACCGGCCCTCACAGAGGAGGTCATCTCCCTGTGTGGATGGGGCCTCTCAGTCTGTCCGCGGGTCCCCAGGACCCCCGCCCGCTCCCGCCGTGCCCCCACCTCACCCACAACACAATGGGGCACCCAAGGGTAGAGTGACAGTGACTACCGGAGACCCCTGGCGGAGAGCGTGGGGCGACCCAGGCCACCCCCGCCACCCGGCCAGCGCCCCCCCATCCGCTACAATGGCCTACTCCCCCTTTCGGCCTGCTCCTGAGCCCTCGAGCCCCTTGAGGCGGCCTGAGGGGAGAGCAGGAGGCAGGCCGGGATGCCAGGGCAAGAGGGGAAGTTCAGATGCCAGACAGTGGCGCGGCTAGCTGGCAATCAAGGCCTCGGGAGAGCCTGGAGTGCGCGGTCCCCAGCCCCAGCCCCAGCCCCAGCCCCAGCCCCAGCCCCAGCAGAGGTTCTCCCAGCTTCGGGCGTGTGTGGGCCACACAGGAAGAAGAGGCTTGTCTTGGGCCACCCATTGAATACAGACACACTAAAGAAGAGAAAATCATCTCAGGATGTTTTCGGGAGATGGGCGATTTTGTCTGGGGAAGGGTGGCCAGGACGCCCCTGGGAGAGAGAGACACGCTTCCACCAGGGGGCAGTGTCGTGGTGACAGGGTCCCCGGTTCCCCCGGGTGGGTGGACTGGGCCGCCCGGGAGACACGTGCCAGGAGCGAGGTTCCCCCCCACCCCGGGGACGCAGGTCGTGCTGTGGACGCCTTCCTAAGTGCCCTTCCTCCTGCGCCCAGGGAGGCCCTGGGCCGCGACAACGGCTCCCCAGCAGGCCACGAGAGCCCACCCCCGCCCGGAAGGCTCCGTTGGTTTCTGGCCTCTCACTGGGCCCATTTTCAGGCACCGAGGGCGGAGGGGGCGATCAGGCTGTCCGGGCGGATCAGGCTGTCAGGGCCCGGGGCGTTTCCTGAGCAGCAGGGCGGTCAAGGGCAGCCTTCCTGAGCTCGTCCTCCGCCTCCCGTTGCCGGCGGTCGCGGCCAAGGCCTGCGGCGGCCGGCACCGTGGCTCCGGGGCCTGGAGAGGACTCCGGAGGCCAAAGCCGGCCGCCAGCCCACCTCCAGGGTGTCCCCGGTCGCGACCCGGGCGGCGGAGGCGGCCCCGCCGGCCGGGGCCCTGCTGGGCCAAGGAGCTGCCCGGGGTGGCCGTTGGGGCCGAGGGGGCGTGGCCTCGGCGGGCGCCCTGTTCCCTAGCAACCCAGGTAACCCCAGCAACCGCGGCAACACGCCCAGGTTCCTTCCGGGTTGGAGGACGCAGGGGCGCTCTGACCCTGGATCCTCGCCCTGGGGGCCGGGGAGAGGTCCATGGTGGGGGGGGGGGGACGCCTCCCTGGGGTGAGCCCCCACCCGAGGCCTCCGACCCGGCCACCGGGGAAACGGGAGGCCGGGGGTGGGCCGGCCGGCCGGGCCGGGCGGCCTGGAGGCCGGTCAGGGGCGGCGCTTCGCAGGCCGCCTGCGGCTTTTCCGCGTGCTCCGCCCCCGCCGGAGGCCAGGATTTCGGCCCGCAGGGTCCCCCGGGTGCAGGTGCGGGGCAGGTGACCGGGAAGAGGGGCTTTGGGCTGTCTTTGGCTGGCACGGAACACCGGCTGGGCTCCCCCCCGCTGGCACTTCCTGTCGCATGCGACGCTGGGTCCCGGTGCCCAGGGGCCACTGCGTGGCCTCGGGTCCCGGATGAAGGACGCGACACGGGGCTAGGAGCCCTAGGTTGACAGGCACGGCGACCTTCGGAGCGAGGCGCTGGACGTCCGTTGTCCTCACGTGTCTTCGGCCAGGCCGCGGCACCGGAACAGCCGGCCCAGCGGCGCCCGTGCCGGGCCGGCCCCCACTGACCCCCACCCATTCACCCCCGCCCCTTGGCCCCGGCCTGCCTGCCAACACCCCTCCTCCCGTGCCCGGCAGGGACGAGCCACCCCAGGACTTCTTCCCGAGTTGGGGCTGTCGTGGCCCCCGGGGTCCAGACTGAAACGCGGCGAGTGTCCAGGCCTTGGCAGACAGGCTGCACGTCTGGGGGGGGGGGGGGGGGCTGGTGCAGGGGGCACAAGGGACACGGGCTGTCTCTGTCACCCCAGCCGCGGCCAGCCGGAGGGAGCCTCTTCAGGCCCCCAACTGGCTTTCCAGGGCCTGCCCGCTGGCTCTCGGAGGGAGGGCGGGCCAGCCACGGGTTCGAGACCTGGACAGCCGGCGCGGCTGCGTGCAGGCCGGGCCGTTCCTCTTCGCAGCCCGGGCAAGGCTCAGGGCCTGCCGCTGGACGGTGGACAAGAAGGTCTAAGTCTGCCCGTGTGTGGCCGGCTGGGGCCACGGCTCTACCTCACTGGGCTCCTCACTGGGCTCCCGTGTCCTCCACAATGACCTCTCCTTTCCTATGTCCTGTGCCCTCCCGTCCTCTCCCACGAGGGAGGTACAGCCCGGTGCCTCGGTGACAAGCCTGCGCTGCAACCCTGGAGACTCGGACCGAGGGGTGGCACCGGGACTGTAGGGCTCCTTCTGCCCCGGCTCCCTCTTCTGGTTTGAGGGCCTTCGGCTTCCGGCCCCTGCTCCCAGTCTCTCCTCTCACCTGGATGCCAGGCAGCCTCGGCCCGGGGTGGGCGTTTTCCATGCGTTTTGGCAGAGCTGGGCAGGAGAACGACCCTCACTGGGGGTGGGGGTGGGATGGTGGGGGGCAGTTTTCAGGGGTGTGTGTGTGTGTGTGTGTGTGTGTGTGTGTGTTGGTTGTTCGGGCCCAGGCCCGCGCCCACGCCCACGTTTGGTTCTTAGGCCTCTGGGCATCAGCGCAGAGAGGCTTCCCCCCACCCTGGGCTAAACCAGTGCTCCCTACGCAGGTGAGGAAGGCGGAGGGGCCTAAGAGCCTCCAGCCCATACCCCCCCCCCCCCCCGGCGCTTTCAGAGCAGCTTCCTCCTGTCCCTCTCAGAGATGGGGGTTGGCCTGGGTCCCGAGCCTTGGCTTCTCCAGACCCCGTCCCTGGGCCTCATCCCGACTGCCCTCCCCTCTGCACTTTCCCTGGGCTGCCCGGCCGGCAAGCCGGCCAGCAAGCCACAGCAAGACTGTGTAGTGAGACCCAGGGCGGTATTTTCCGACGAAAGGACGGACCACTGAATGTAAGAGGGGAAGCAAGAGCGATGCCCAAATGATGAATGAGTGAAGGAAAGGAGGGTTGGCTGGCTGGCTGGCTGGCTGGCTGGCCGGCCGGTCGGCCGGCTGGCTGGCTGGCTGGCTGGGGCTGATCGGGTAGAGACAGAGTGACAAGGGGTGTTACCCTGGTGGGGCTGGTGAACCACCGGCCCTCACAGAGGAGGTCATCTCCCTGTGTGGATGGGGCCTCTCAGTCTGTCCGCGGGTCCCCAGGACCCCCGCCCGCTCCCGCCGTGCCCCCACCTCACCCACAACACAATGGGGCACCCAAGGGTAGAGTGACAGTGACTACCGGAGACCCCTGGCGGAGAGCGTGGGGCGACCCAGGCCACCCCCGCCACCCGGCCAGCGCCCCCCATCCGCTACAATGGCCTACTCCCCCTTTCGGCCTGCTCCTGAGCCCTCGAGCCCCTTGAGGCGGCCTGAGGGGGAGAGCAGGAGGCAGGCCGGGATGCCAGGGCAAGAGGGGAAGTTCAGATGCCAGACAGTGGCGCGGCTAGCTGGCAATCAAGGCCTCGGGAGAGCCTGGACGGTCCCCAGCCCCAGCCCCAGCCCCAGCCCCAGCCCCAGCCCCAGCCCCAGCCCCAGCCCCAGCCCCAGCAGAGGTTCTCCCAGCTTCGGGCGTGTGTGGGCCACACAGGAAGAAGAGGCTTGTCTTGGGCCACCCATTGAATACAGACACACTAAAGAAGAGAAAATCATCTCAGGATGTTTTCGGGAGATGGGCGATTTTGTCTGGGGAAGGGTGGCCAGGACGCCCCTGGGAGAGAGAGACACGCTTCCACCAGGGGGCAGTGTCGTGGTGACAGGGTCCCCGGTTCCCCCGGGTGGGTGGACTGGGCCGCCCGGGAGACACGTGCCAGGAGCGAGGTTCCCCCCACCCCGGGGACGCAGGTCGTGCTGTGGACGCCTTCCTAAGTGCCCTTCCTCCTGCGCCCAGGGAGGCCCTGGGCCGCGACAACGGCTCCCCAGCAGGCCACGAGAGCCCACCCCCGCCCGGAAGGCTCCGTTGGTTTCTGGCCTCTCACTGGGCCCATTTTCAGGCACCGAGGGCGGAGGGGGCGATCAGGCTGTCCGGGCGGATCAGGCTGTCAGGGCCCGGGGCGTTTCCTGAGCAGCAGGGCGGTCAAGGGCAGCCTTCCTGAGCTCGTCCTCCGCCTCCCGTTGCCGGCGGTCGCGGCCAAGGCCTGCGGCGGCCGGCACCGTGGCTCCGGGGCCTGGAGAGGACTCCGGAGGCCAAAGCCGGCCGCCAGCCCACCTCCAGGGTGTCCCCGGTCGCGACCCGGGCGGCGGAGGCGGCCCCGCCGGCCGGGGCCCTGCTGGGCCAAGGAGCTGCCCGGGGTGGCCGTTGGGGCCGAGGGGGCGTGGCCTCGGCGGGCGCCCTGTTCCCTAGCAACCCAGGTAACCCCAGCAACCGCGGCAACACGCCCAGGTTCCTTCCGGGTTGGAGGACGCAGGGGCGCTCTGACCCTGGATCCTCGCCCTGGGGGCCGGGGAGAGGTCCATGGTGGGGGGGGGGGGACGCCTCCCTGGGGTGAGCCCCCACCCGAGGCCTCCGACCCGGCCACCGGGGAAACGGGAGGCCGGGGGTGGGCCGGCCGGCCGGGCCGGGCGGCCTGGAGGCCGGTCAGGGGCGGCGCTTCGCAGGCCGCCTGCGGCTTTTCCGCGTGCTCCGCCCCCGCCGGAGGCCAGGATTTCGGCCCGCAGGGTCCCCCGGGTGCAGGTGCGGGGCAGGTGACCGGGAAGAGGGGCTTTGGGCTGTCTTTGGCTGGCACGGAACACCGGCTGGGCTCCCCCCCCGCTGGCACTTCCTGTCGCATGCGACGCTGGGTCCCGGTGCCCAGGGGCCACTGCGTGGCCTCGGGTCCCGGATGAAGGACGCGACACGGGGCTAGGAGCCCTAGGTTGACAGGCACGGCGACCTTCGGAGCGAGGCGCTGGACGTCCGTTGTCCTCACGTGTCTTCGGCCAGGCCGCGGCACCGGAACAGCCGGCCCAGCGGCGCCCGTGCCGGGCCGGCCCCCACTGACCCCCACCCATTCACCCCCGCCCCTTGGCCCCGGCCTGCCTGCCAACACCCCTCCTCCCGTGCCCGGCAGGGACGAGCCACCCCAGGACTTCTTCCCGAGTTGGGGCTGTCGTGGCCCCCGGGGTCCAGACTGAAACGCGGCGAGTGTCCAGGCCTTGGCAGACAGGCTGCACGTCTGGGGGGGGGGGGGGGGCTGGTGCAGGGGGCACAAGGGACACGGGCTGTCTCTGTCACCCCAGCCGCGGCCAGCCGGAGGGAGCCTCTTCAGGCCCCCAACTGGCTTTCCAGGGCCTGCCCGCTGGCTCTCGGAGGGAGGGCGGGCCAGCCACGGGTTCGAGACCTGGACAGCCGGCGCGGCTGCGTGCAGGCCGGGCCGTTCCTCTTCGCAGCCCGGGCAAGGCTCAGGGCCTGCCGCTGGACGGTGGACAAGAAGGTCTAAGTCTGCCCGTGTGTGGCCGGCTGGGGCCACGGCTCTACCTCACTGGGCTCCTCACTGGGCTCCCGTGTCCTCCACAATGACCTCTCCTTTCCTATGTCCTGTGCCCTCCCGTCCTCTCCCACGAGGGAGGTACAGCCCGGTGCCTCGGTGACAAGCCTGCGCTGCAACCCTGGAGACTCGGACCGAGGGGTGGCACCGGGACTGTAGGGCTCCTTCTGCCCCGGCTCCCTCTTCTGGTTTGAGGGCCTTCGGCTTCCGGCCCCTGCTCCCAGTCTCTCCTCTCACCTGGATGCCAGGCAGCCTCGGCCCGGGGTGGGCGTTTTCCATGCGTTTTGGCAGAGCTGGGCAGGAGAACGACCCTCACTGGGGGTGGGGGTGGGATGGTGGGGGCAGTTTTCAGGGGTGTGTGTGTGTGTGTGTGTGTGTGTGTGTGTGTGTTGGTTGTTCGGGCCCAGGCCCGCGCCCACGCCCACGTTTGGTTCTTAGGCCTCTGGGCATCAGCGCAGAGAGGCTTCCCCCCACCCTGGGCTAAACCAGTGCTCCCTACGCAGGTGAGGAAGGCGGAGGGGCCTAAGAGCCTCCAGCCCATACCCCCCCCCCCCCCCGGCGCTTTCAGAGCAGCTTCCTCCTGTCCCTCTCAGAGATGGGGGTTGGCCTGGGTCCCGAGCCTTGGCTTCTCCAGACCCCGTCCCTGGGCCTCATCCCGACTGCCCTCCCCTCTGCACTTTCCCTGGGCTGCGCGGCCGGCAAGCCGGCCAGCAAGCCACAGCAAGACTGTGTAGTGAGACCCAGGGCGGTATTTTCCGACGAAAGGACGGACCACTGAATGTAAGAGGGGAAGCAAGAGCGATGCCCAAATGATGAATGAGTGAAGGAAAGGAGGGTTGGCTGGCTGGCTGGCTGGCTGGCTGGCCGGCCGGTCGGCCGGCTGGCTGGCTGGCTGGCTGGGGCTGATCGGGTAGAGACAGAGTGACAAGGGGTGTTACCCTGGTGGGGCTGGTGAACCACCGGCCCTCACAGAGGAGGTCATCTCCCTGTGTGGATGGGGCCTCTCAGTCTGTCCGCGGGTCCCCAGGACCCCCGCCCGCTCCCGCCGTGCCCCCACCTCACCCACAACACAATGGGGCACCCAAGGGTAGAGTGACAGTGACTACCGGAGACCCCTGGCGGAGAGCGTGGGGCGACCCAGGCCACCCCCGCCACCCGGCCAGCGCCCCCCCATCCGCTACAATGGCCTACTCCCCCTTTCGGCCTGCTCCTGAGCCCTCGAGCCCCTTGAGGCGGCCTGAGGGGAGAGCAGGAGGCAGGCCGGGATGCCAGGGCAAGAGGGGGAAGTTCAGATGCCAGACAGTGGCGCGGCTAGCTGGCAATCAAGGCCTCGGGAGAGCCTGGACGGTCCCCAGCCCCAGCCCCAGCCCCAGCCCCAGCCCCAGCCCCAGCAGAGGTTCTCCCAGCTTCGGGCGTGTGTGGGCCACACAGGAAGAAGAGGCTTGTCTTGGGCCACCCATTGAATACAGACACACTAAAGAAGAGAAAATCATCTCAGGATGTTTTCGGGAGATGGGCGATTTTGTCTGGGGAAGGGTGGCCAGGACGCCCCTGGGAGAGAGAGACACGCTTCCACCAGGGGGGCAGTGTCGTGGTGACAGGGTCCCCGGTTCCCCCCGGGTG